ACTTGGGAGGCAGAGGCAGGCGGATCTCTGTGAGTTCAAGGACAGCCTGGTCTACATAGTTCCAGGACAGCTGGGGGGCTACAGGGAGACCCTGTCTCAAAGAGAGATTTATTTATTTTTGTGTGTATGTGTGTGCCTGACTGTGTGACTACATGAGTTTATATGCATACAGAGACCAGAAAAGGGCATTGGATCCCTGGGAGCTGGAGTTTCAGGCATTTGTGGGTGCCTGACTTGTTATGTTGGTGCTGAGATCCAAACTGCAGTCCTCATGATTGTTCTGAGCCATCTCTCTAGCCCCTAAAGTGATTTAAAAATTTTTTTTATTTAATTTGGTGTGTGTGTGTGTGTGTGTCTTTTTTGAGAGGGTCCTCCTGTAGTCCCAGCTGGCCTGAAATTTGCTGACCTCGAACTCACAGCAATCTGCCTGCCTCTGCCTCCAGGGTGCTGGGATTAAAGTTGTGCACCACCACGCCCCACTCTCAGACTTCATTTTTAGTTTACGTAGCAATAACATATCAGGTACAGTGCAATGTTTTCATTATTTATGTATATTATGTAATGACTAAATCTGGGTAATTAGTACATTACTGCCTTAAATATTTATCATTTCTTCGTAGTGCAAACCTTTGAAATTCTCTTAGCTTTTTTAACAGTACATTGTTATTGACATGCTAGTTACCCTACAATGTAAAAGAATGTTGGAACTACTTTTATTTGTCTCACTGTGTGGCCTTGGCTGACCTGAAACTTACTATGTAGACAAGACTAGTATCAAACTTACAGCGATCCACAGAGATCCACCTGCTTCTGCCTCCCAAGTTCTGGGGTCAGAGATGTGAGCTGCCAAGCCCAACCTATTCCTTCTGTTTGTATCCTGTTGTCTGACTTGTACTTATTCCCCACGTACTCCATCAGGTATCTACTATGCTGTTGTGGCTTATTTTTCCCTTCACATAACATCCTCCCAGGTTCTTCCATGTTGCAACTGACATGTTTAGATATATACCCAGGATATATTCTGCTTTGTCTTGATTGGGGCTGGGAGGAGGGATAAGCAGCTGGGGTGGGGGGAGATTTCTTTCAAGTGTTCTATAAATTAATCTAACTTACTGAATTTTGATTAATGTACCTTTGTAAAAGCATCATTCCAAGCCAGGCATGGTGGCACACACCTTTAATCCCCCCACTCGGGAGGCAGAGGCAGGTGGAGCTTTGTGAGTTCAAGGCCAGCCTTGTCTACATAGCGAGTTCCAGGACAGCTGGGACTACAGGGAAACCGTCTCAAAAAGACAAAAAAAAAAAAAAAAAAAAAAAAAAAAAAAAATCATTCCTCTAGAATTTCCTTATTGCTGAACCTGATTAAACATTTAAAGTATTAACTAAATTCCACATAACATTACTGAATTCCTGTTTAAATGGTGATAAAGTTTATACAGTTTGTTTTAGAGATGTAAGCATTTCTGTCTTGGTAGTTATTGTAGTATCGCATATATCTTACTTATCTAAAATGAATGTTTCTTTTAAGATGAAAAGAGGCTTGATTAGTACTCCCCCATCAGATATGCTTCCTACGACAGAAGGAGGAAAATCAAATGCCTGGTTGCGGCAAAAAAATGCTGGCATATACGTTCGTCCTCGCCTATTTTCTCCCTATGTGGAAGAAGCAAAGGTAATGAAAACACTAGAAGGTATTAGGTGACTTTCTTACCAATATGCACAAAGATTTATTATTTGGAAGTAACTCGAACATCTAGTAATAGAGAAAATGAAAGTGAATTCTATTTTGACTACTCACTTTTCTAAAATTTTTAATTATCAAGTGTGTTTTAAAACGTGTTAAAATGCATTTTGCATTTTCCCTTATTGTCTTGCAAATTGTTAATTGCATTGCAAATTGCTATAATTTTATTGAAATACTTATACTTTTGATCTTGAGAGTAAGGAATGTTCTGAAAACAGGCTACATCCACTATATCTTCCTCATAAACTTAAGAAACTTGTGATCTCCTGGAACATAGTTCCAGAACAGATGACTCTTCGGAGTTTGATTGAGTTTTAGAGTGAGCGTTAGAGCTAAACCAAAATTTCAAGCTTGTTAAGTAAATAGCAGGCTCCCATATACACTGTAACATAAAGACCTCTCCAAGAAAAATTAGTATTGTGAAAATGAAACAGTAATTTTTATTAGACATTCTCACATAACTTGAGTGGAGCCATTGAGGAACTAACAGTCTTTGAAAGCCAGAAATCACCAACAAGCTTCTGAAAAAAAAAAAAATGTATTTGGTCATAGGATGAAATTGTTTTAAACATATTCTAATTGGAAGCCAGGCATGGTGGCTCACACCTTTAATCTCAGCACTCAGGAGGCAGAGGCAGGCTGATATCTGTGAGATTGAGGCTAGCCTCATCTATGTATCAAGTTCAGGAGAGCTGAACTAAAGGGAGAACCTATCTCCAAAAAGAAAAAAAAAAATTTCTGATTGTGTACATACTTGATGTACATGTGGGCATGTGTGCCACAACACATATGTGGAAAAGTTAGAGGACTACTTTGTCAACTCAGACTTCTTTTTCCAACTTTACATGAGTTCCAGGGGTCAAACTCACCGGATCTTCAGGCTTAGGTGTCAAGTGCTTTCCCAGCCCAGAAGTCTATTTGATTGAATAGACTGAGAATATACTGTGTGTGTGTTTGCATTTGTGTATGTATGTGCATGCATGTGCCATCCTGCCCAACATATATTTCTTAACAAATGATTAACATTGTAAGCAGTTCTAAAACAGTAGAAAAGCTCAGGGTTGGAGAGATGACTCAGTGGTTAAGAACACTGGCTGCTCTTGCAGAGGAACTGGGTTTGATTCTCAGCACCCACATGGCAGCCAACAACCATCTGTAACTCCAGTTCTAGGGGATCTGACATCTTCTGTTCTCCACGGGTATTGCATAACATGGGTGCACTTTACACACATGCAGGCAATACAGTCATAGACATAAAATAAAAATAATAAAATATTTTTTAAAAACAGTAGAAAAGCTTAATGGAGCCAGGCGTGGTGGCACCATGCCTTTAATCCCAGGAGGGAGGCGGAGGCAGGTGGATCTGTGTGGGATTGAGGGCAACCTGGTATACATAGTGAGTTCCAGGTCAGCTGGGGCTGCAGGGAGACCCTGTCTCAAAAAGACAAAAACAAAGGGCTGGAGAGATGGCGCAGCGGTTAAGAGCTGATTGCTCTTACAGAGGACCCAGGTTCAATTCCCAGCACCCACATGGCAGCTACAAGCTGTCCTTAACTCCAGTTAGTTCCAGGGGAATCTGATGCCCTCTTCTAACCTTCACAGCATTGCACAACACGGGTGCACTCACATACATGCAGGCAGTACACTCATACTCATACACATAAAATAAAAATAACAGATAAAATATTTTTTTAAAAAGACAAAACAAGAAAAGAAAGAAAGGGCTGGGTGTGGTGGCACACACCTTTAATCCCAGCACCTGGGAGGCAGAGGCAGGCAGGATGGATCTCTTGAGTTCAAGGCCAGCCTGTCTACATAGTGAATTCCAGGCCACCTGGTAGCTACAAGGAGACCCTGTCTCAGAGAGAGGGGCAGGGGAGGGGGAGGGGAGAGAGACAGAGACAGACAGAGGGGGGAGGAGGGAAGAAGGAGGGAAAGAAAAAACCTTAATGGTTAATAAGTGTAGCACTTGTTGCTCATGCAGTACCCACCCACTGGGCCTTTGTTCTGCCCCAAGGCTGGACAGCCGAAAAGCTCACCAGGGGTGGCACTGGGTCCATGCCTAAGAACTTCTTCCCAGTAAATGTGGAAAATGTTCATTTATTATCTCATTTGGGCCATTCTGCAGTTTGGTGACATAGTTGTACGTGAAACAAATTTAACAAAATTGGATTTATTTATAGGTCTATAGGTTGAATAATGGTCAATATTTGAATAATGGTCAATAGGTTAAATAAAAATATCTTGTATGTTGAGCATTTTTGGAGGGTATCTGATATTTGGCAGATGGCATACATTATAATTTGTGTATAGTTTACTGCTGATTAATTTTATAATTAAATTTTCTAGAAGATGAGTATATCTTTTCCACGATACTCCAAAAAGGCGCTTTCTCCTTTCACCACTAATTGTAAACTTCATAAACATGAAGCAGTTTTAATTCCTATTTTATGATGAAGGTAATAATCTTACTATAAATGTGATTTAGCCCAAGTGAAGGTTGACTGATTCTGTTGAAACCGAATATTTCAGTCAGTGCTGGACGAGATGATGGTGGAACAAACAGACCTGGTGCGACTGCGAATGGTTCGAATGTCCAATGTGCCAGACACACTTTACATGGTTAGCAATGCTGTGCCACAGTGTTGCCACATGATCAGCCACCAGCAGATCAGCAGTAACCAATCAAGCCCTCCCTCAGTTGTAGCCAATGAAATTCCAGGTAAGGCAGTGCCTTTTATCAGGCAATTACATTTACTGAATAATCTTACTTCTTTTGTAATTGTTTTTGTTTTAATCCCTTTACATACACTGACTCTTTGCACTTTTCCGAACTTTGTTCTCCATGAAGAATACTTATGGGGGGGATGGAGAGATGGCTCAACAGTTAATAGCGCTTTCTGCTCTTGCAAAGCACCTGAATTAGTTTCTAACACCCACATGGTAGCTGACAACCATCTGTAATTCCAGTTCCAGGAGATCCAATACCTCTTATGGCCTCCACAGGCACCAGGCATACACGCAGTGCATACACATGCATACATGCAGATAAAACACTCATAAAGATCGGAAG